CCGTATAAATGTCTAGGTGTGAACAATGTACTTACATTGTTGCATGTGTGTATACAGCGTACATATGTACATATACAGTTATGTGTAAGGGTATGAAATTGCATATGCAACTCGTACGGGGCATCCTCGGGCATCTTCGCTGCATGCCACGAGACCCTCAACGACTGGGTCACAATGTGAAATGTCATGGGAGCAAAATCAATGAATGTTGGCATTCGGAAACATCGTGGGGGTGGTCTCGGGGCCCTCGTGGGCCGTTTTGGCGCCTTCATGGGCCGTCCTGGGGTCTTCTTGGGCCGTCTTCGGGAGCTTGGGCCCGCTGGAGCCCCCTTTGGACCCATCTTGGGCACTTCCAGGGACCTCCCATGGCCCTTTTGGATCTGTGCTGGGAGCCCTTGGAGGGCCTCTTGGTTCCATTATGGGCTGTCTTGGGGCTCTCGTGGGCGATCGTGGGGCCCGGCTCGGCCGTCTTGAAGCTTTCTAGGGGGCCTTTTTTGGAGCGTCTTGAGGCGATCTCGGGAGCTTTGAAACCGTCTTGAAAGCTGATGAATTCCGAAAGGCGCATATGCTAAAATTGCAAGTTTTACGAAGGGAATGGGACGGTTTTTGTGGTTTGAAGGCTCCTTGGAAAGCTTTTTGGGGTGCCTTGGGAGTGTTTATGTTGGCATTCGGAAACATCGTGGGGGTGGTTTCGGGGCCCTCGTGGGCCGTTTTGGCGCCTTCATGGGCCGTCCTGGAGCCTTCTTGGGCCGTCTTGGGGAGCTTGGGCCCGCTGGAGCCCCCTTTGGACCCATCTTGGGCACTTCTGGGGACCTCCCATGGCCCTTTTGGGTCTGTGCTGGGAGCCCTTGGGGGGCCTCTTGGTTGCATTATGGGCTGTCTTGGGGCTCTCGTGAGCGATCGTGGGGCCCGGCTCGGCCGTCTTGAAGCTTTCTAGGGGGCCTTTTGGAGCGTCTTGAGGCGATCTCGGGGGCTTTGAAACCGTCTTGAAAGCTGATGAAATCCGAAAGGCGAATCTGCTAAAATTGTAAGCTTTACGAAAGGAATGGGACGATTTTTGTGTTTTCAAGCCCCTTGGAAAGCTTTTTGGTGTGCCTTGGGGGACTTTATGTTGGCATTCGGGAACATCGTGGGGGTGTTTTCGGGGCCCTCGTGGGCCGTTTTGGCGCCGTCATGGGCCGTCCTGGAGCCTTCTTGGGCCGTCTTGGGCCCGCTGGAGCCCCCTTTGGACCCATCTTGGGCACTTCTGGGGACCTCCCACGGCCCTTTTGGGTCTGTGCTGGGAGCCCTTGGGGGGCTTCTTGGTTCCATTATGGGCTGTCTTGGGGCTCTCGTGGGCGATCGTGGGGCCCGGCTCGGCCGTCTTGAAGCTTTCTTGGAGGCCTTTTGGTGTGTCTGGAGGCGTTCTCGGGGGCTTTGAAACCGTCTTGAAAGCTGATGAAATCCGGAAGGCGAATATGCTAAAATTGCAAGTTTTACGAAGGGAATTTGACGATTTTTGTGGTTTGAATGCCCCTTGGGAAGCTTTTTGGCGTGCCTTGGGGGTCTTTTGGGCCGTCCTGTCGCAATTGGAGTCCCTCTTGGAGCGCTCTTCTGCTGTCTGGGGCCTCCCTTGAGCCTTTCTGACGACCCCTCGGGTCGCTCTCGGTCTGCTGGCAAGGCGTTTGTGGAGACCCGGAAAGCCGGGTGACCTGTTCCAAGGACGTCCAAGGGAGCCCGAGAACCCCAGGTCCTGGGGGTCCCGTTTTGGGGGGGAGATGGTTTCCCCCCCCGGGCTTGTGAAAATATAAGAAGAGGAATATGTATTTGTACATGTATATTATGTATGTGTATATATATAAATATATATGTATATATATATACATGTATAAATATATGTATATATATATACATACATACATACACATACCTTGTAAAAAGAGATAGCCTGGGGGCAATGTTTCTGCTATATTTGTATATCTTTGCCTATGTCTGTCTATTTGTTGTTTTTCCCCTCCAAAATTCGCCTGTAGGAGGACATGTCCGACGTAATCCTACACGGTCCAAAATGGCCACGACTACTTACGCAACAGAAAAGGCAAACAAGGCCTATGAGTCGGGCAAGGCGACGCCGGGACGGCCCACGATGACCTCAAGACGGCCCAAGACCGAGGAGGCGGAGGCAGGATTAGGTCGGGCATGTCCCCCTTCAGGCAGATTTTGGGTGACAAATGAGAAATAGTTAAGCAAATAATCAAAAATACCACAATTAGTCGAAACATCGTCCCCTGACTATTTTTCTGACGATTTTGAAAATTCCTCCTGCAGAACGCCCTGCTCTGCGATCCCAGATCACACAGCAGAGGGGAACAAGGAGCGCGGCCCCAGAGGCAACCTCCTGAGGCAGCACCGAGTCTCTGGACGCCCCGGCAAGGGCTCATCGCGCGCTCCTCCCCCCTCCTCCCCCCCCTCCCCCCCTCCCTGCAATCCCTCCCGGGCAGAGCGCCAATCCGACGGGCTCCTCATGTCCACTGAGGCGCTGACGCTGCGGAGGAAGCGGACGCACGCCTCCCGCCGGGCGGCGCCAGCTTGGGTGTGTTTCTGACCATAGCCCTACTGCGAAGTGCTCGTGTCGTGACGGCCCCCGAAAGGCACCAGGAAGCCCCGAAACGGCCACCAAGAGGCCTCCAAACGGCCACCAAGAGGCCTCCAGAATGCCTACAGGAGGCCCCCGAGAGGCCTTCCACGAGATCACCAACAAATAACCAATAGGCCGCATACCCACAACCCAGGCACGGTGGCGGGGTGGGCCGAAGGCCATCAAATAACCCTTCTGCGGAGTGCGCGTGTCGTGACGACCCTGGCGTTAGCTTCTGACACCGCGTGGATCGTTCAACCTTGCGCGATCGTCGGCCTTTCGACCGCCCAATCGTTCCATCTTGACCATTCTGGGCCACTGGCCGTGTTCAGCCTTACTCGGCGTCGAGCGAGGGGGGAAATGAGAAAGGGCGGGCCTTCTCAGAAGGCTCGGAATTCAGATGACTTTCTGAGAAGTGGTCTAAACCTTCCCCGAAAGCACGGGAACTTTTCTCAGAATGCGACAGGGCTTCTGAGAAGCCCCGCCGCCTCTCGAAGAAGGCCTTCTCTTTAAAAAAGAGCACGGCGCAAACATAAGCTGTTGGCGCTCCGCGCGGACTTCTTGGATATGCGCCGGACCCCCCTCCCTGGCGCGGGGAGTGCGCCAAAGGCGGCGCCGGAGGCGCCACGCAGAGCGTGAACAGTTTCTGTTCACGGCGTTGTTTCTTCACCAATTCTCGCTTCCCCCCTCGCTCGCCGCTGCTGCTGCTGACTGCCTGCCAGACCACCCCAACCTAACCCGAAGACCCCCTGCTTCCTGTTTCGGGTTGGGGGGGGTACGGGTTCCACGCGTGTTTTTCTAATGTTCCCCGACCCCCCCCCCTGGAAATGGAGGGCGATTCGGGGCCTTCGGGTTGGGTTGGGGTGCCTTGGTGGGCGGTGAGTTGCAGGCGGGGCTTCTCAGAAGCCCCCGCGCCTTCTTGAAAAAGTTTGCCGTGCTTTCGGGAGGCTCAGAACACTTCTCAGAAAGTCATCTGAATTCCGAGCCTTCTGAGAATGTTCGCCCTTTCTCACTTCCCCCCCTCGCTCGCCGCCGACTTGCTGTTGCGGGCCAGCGTTAGGTCGGGCATGTCCCCTACATGCGGATTTTGAGCGAAAACTTTTAACCAGCTAAATGCTCAAACATGTTTTTTTGTTTGAAAAATACTCAAACATCGTCCCCCGACTATGTTTGGACTGTTGCAGAGTATTCCTCCTGAAGATGGGCACGCCCGACTTAACACTTCCCCCCTCGCTCGCCGCCGACTTGCTGTTGCGGGCCAGCGAGGGCGGCCCAAAAACCTGTGCGACATCGCTGTGGGCGCGGGCGCCCACGGCTGCGGCCCCCCAGAGGAGGCGTGCGTGGGCTCCTCGGCCGCGGCCGCGTGCGGCCACGCGGCCCACAGTGATGCAGGTCCCCGGCTTCGGTTTTGCGGGTGCTTCTCGCGGGCGACCCCAAAAGTTGCTCCCCAATGCGGAGGAAGACAAAACGGCACACATACTGGTTGGAAGAAGTGGGTACAAACATGAACCAGCAAGGCGTTGGAAGCAAATTGGGCTTCGCCCGCCCCCGGAAGAGAGGGGAAGAGGAGCACCCGCTCGATCCTTGAAGTAGGAAGGAGTTTAAAGCAAATTGGGAGCTGGGCATCTAACAATACGCACTTTCAAAGACGGGCGTGTAAACAGAAACTTTTGGAGGTCCGCGCGGACTTCTTGGACCTGGGCTGGAGCCCCCTACCTGGCGCGCGGAACGCGCCAAGGGTGGCGCAAGAGGCGCCGCCAGGGGGCACAAGCGCGGATCCAAAAAAATCTGCGCGGACCGTCGAACGTTTATGTTTATGCCGCTGTTTGTTCTTCGACGGTTGCAATTGCGATTGCGGGCGCCGGGAGGAGCGAGTGCACGTTCAGTCTGAAAGAGAATGGATGGTACACCTTGATGGTGGCCGCACGAAGGCCTCAAACGTGTTGCCCGACGTGTCGATGGACGTCAATACGATAGTTCTCCTGTCAATCAGCCAGTCGTCGAGCGCACGGAATTTCACCCAACTCCGCTGGGGAACAAAAACATCCGCGGAGAAAGTCGGGGATGGACAACCCCCCTTTCGTAAAACGTGGTTTAGTGAAGACGACCTGAGGCCCAAACCTGGCGGGCGCAAGCCTGGAAAATAACGGCCACGGCGCCCTCTCGAGAACCGAAAACGGACAATTCATTAATCGACGTGTCACTGTTGGGGGTTCTGTCCACCCCCGAGAAAGATACAATGATCTCGCACCCTGCCGTAGGCATGTTGAGGCGTGTTAGCATGGTCCGCTGTTAAGGCTTCCGTCGTGCTTCTGGGGCCGAACCCCTCCCTACAGTCAAAAACCCTAATACGGACGCGCGGTAAGGACGCAAGACCCTTGGAAGCCGAAGTTGGGATGTTTGGGGCGGCGGACAACGAAAACCCCGTAAGCGGGCAAGCGAAAGAGGCCAAGGACGAGCCGCAAGAGCAAGGAAGAGCAAGGACGCAAGGGTACCCTGAGCAAAGTCGCGCGTCCTTGTTAGGGTTTTTGACTGCACTACGAATAACAATGCTCCAAAAAACACCAACTGTAGTTTTGCTTGCCGGCCTTCTTTTCGGCCTCCAAACGGCTCCAAGACAGCTTAGAACCCCCCAAGGGCTGCAAGAAGCCTCACGAACATTCGCATAGACGGCCCCAAAAGCCTCCGAAAACTCCCAAACGGTTGTACGCTACCCCGGGAGGGACCCGAGACGGCATCAGAGAGCCACTCGACGGCCCAAGACAGCCCGGAATCCCTAGACGGCCACACGACAGTACCAAGAGATCCTCTAGACGGCCAAGATGGCCCCCAGACGGCCCAATAGAGCCCCAAGACTGCCCAAAGTGGCCCAAGGGACCCCCAATTGCCCCACGGGAGCCTACGACAGGACCGTAGAAAGGGAGCAGGATGAAGAAAACGAGTACAGAAACCCGACACAACTCGGAAGATCGTGTCGCAGGCGATGGTTCTCTCCCAAGCCTCGGGACACGAGGTGTCACACGTTACGGTCAGGTCGGGCATGTTCTCCTGCAGGCGGATTTTGGATGACAAAAGAAAACTACTACAAAAATATCGAACATGATTCTAAATAGTCGAAGATTCGTCCCCAAATATTTTGATTATGTTTGAATATTCCTCCCTCCTCATATTCTGCTGCTTCACATTTGATTCTCTGGGTGCACACATTCTTTCTGCATCGACATGTTTTCCCGAGGAGGTGCCGATCGCGCACTCTTCTGCCTACGCGTCCTTCAAAATGCTTGGCTCTGTGATGGTGGTGGTGGTGGAGATGGACATGCCCGACTTAACGTTGCGGACTCCGGTGCGTCCCCCGAACAACCGTCATCCGAGGTGCTGGGCTGTCGCCGTGGTGGGACTTACTGCGGGCACCTGGATACTGTTCCCCATCGAGGGACCCCCTACATACAAACACTGTTTGGGGCATCGTGAAGGTTGTGCCAAGCGCAGAAACGATACCACACCTTGGAACGACCGAAGACGCTCCAAAGAAACAATATAGGAAATAACGCTTGCACTCCTCACTGTGAAAATTCGGGGCCTGGGGAATCAAAAGGTACTGATACTGTTACTCCCTGGACCTCGCCCAGGGTGCGTTCTGACCAACATTTCGCGGCGAAGCCAGCCGTGACAACGAGGGCTCACAGGAGGCAAAAGTCTCGGGCCCATTCTTCCTCTGATATGCAGGATTGGCGGATGAAAGCCAGGTCGCGGCCACAAGACACCATTATCATATTGATCAGAACGGACAACCGTAGCGCGCAGGAATGCTCTGAGCCAGACGACGCCCGGGAAACATCCGTGCTCGAGTCCTGAAGTGAAGACCGCATGCGGGAATGGCGAGTGGCAGCCGCGAGAGAGGGAGGGGGGTGAGAATGGAGCAAGATCGGGGCGACGTAAGACTCGGGTTCGGGGGAGTCAGGTTGGCCTGACGAGGCCACCATGAAATTGACGAGACCCCGTCTGAAATTTGACGCGAGCTCCCGCTGCATACATCCCACGAAAACTGCACCGTCCAAAGCCAAGACGCGCTCGTCCAACAGCGTCGGCGAACCCGGGTTCCGGCGTACTCGCATGCTGCGTTGCCCCGACAGGAGGGAGGGGTGGGTGGAGGATGAAGGGAGGAACGCCATGAACAAAGGTCGGGCATGCCCTCCTACAGGCGGATTTTGGGCACAAGATGCAAAACACAATCAACACAGATTCAGACATACCCACAAATCATCGAAAACTCCTCCCCATCCGATTTTTTGACTACTTTCGGCGCGCTCGAGCCCTACGTTTCCCCGAGCCTGTGGGTGCTCCAGCGCCCTCGGCCCTCTCCCGGCCTCCGTGGGGCCAGGGCCCGGCCCCCAGAGGCCTCCCGTCGCCGTCGGCGCCGCCGCCGCCGTCGCCGTCGCCGTCATCGTCGCCTCGATGCCCGCGCACTCACGTTGTAACCAGCGGCGGGTCGCGCGCGACCGCGCGCGCCACTGCGCTCGCATCTCCTCTCGTCTGACAGGGGCCCGGGCGGACATCGTGAATTTTTTTGGTTCCGCCCACAACTCGTTTACAGCAACAGTGGGAAAAAACGACTCTGACAAGCGATCGGGGGCATGTGGGGGAAAGGTCACCGCAGGCCTCCGAGGGCCTCCCGGCCCCCTACCTCCCTCCATGCAGTGGGGCCCGACCCCCCCAGCCATTCCTGCAGGCCTGCCGCAAAAGGCTCTCAGGACAAGAACATGCTGGGAGAACAGAAGCAGTGCTCTGAGAACATGACGCCAATGTCTAAACACAAGACTCGGGGATGGACAACCCCCTGTGGTTTGGTGAAAACGACCTCGGGCCAAAACCTGGCGGGCGCAAGCCTGGAAAAAAGACGACCGCGGCGCCCTCTCGAGAAACGAAAACGGATAATTCACTAATCGACGTGTCAGGGTGGGGTTTCTGTCCACCCCGGGAAGACGCCCTCATCCAGACATGCTCCAAGAGAACACCTCGCGTAAACCACAAGAGGCTCTCAGAACACTCCCCAGTGGGCCTGCAGGCAGGCAGGGACGCTTCGCCACCGCCTCCCTGCAGGAGCGAAGCCGCCCATCATCTGGGGGCCAGCGCTGTACAACAGGAGGAGGAGGAGGAGGAGGAAGAAGAGGAGTGACGAGGTTACTCTGTGTCCCTCAATAGTTTTGGGGCCCCGGACTACAGGTACCCCCCGGACTACAAGCACCCCTCCCCCGGACTACAGGTACCCCCCACCGGACTACAGGCACACCCCCTCCGGACTACAAGTACACCCCCCGGACTACAGGTACCCCCCCCCGGACTACAGGCACCCCCCTAGCCCCCGGAACTACAAGCCACCCCGGAACTACAAGTACCCCCATGCGCGCCCCCCCCAGACTACAGGCCCCGCCCCCCGGACTACAGGTACCCCCCCCGGACTACAAGTACCCCCCCCCCCGGACTACAGGCCCCTCCCCCCCGGACTACAAGTACCCCCCCCCCCCGGACTATAGGTACCCCCCCTGGACTACAGGTACCCCCAGAACTATTGAGGGACACAGAGTACGGGTATAGCGACTGTGTCGGTGACGATGGGGAAGCATATTAAACCTGCTGTCTCCTGGCTCTTCTGGCTTGCTCACGTTTGCTGTAGACTTTCGGCAACAACCCTTGGAGAATACGTTTACGATGATCCATTCGATTACTCCCGGCATATACGACACTTGTAAGCTGTGCTTCCGTGCTTGCATGACCTGGCCATCTTCAGAGTCTTCAGCTCTGCAGTTGGAGGGAGGGTCAGCTTTGAGGATGGAGGAGGAGGAGGAGGAGGAGGAGGAGGAGGAGGGGGAGGAGGAGGAGGAGGAGGAGGAGGAGGAGGAGGAGGAGGATGGAGGAGGAGCAACAGGGCCAGAATTCCCGGGCCAGCGCTGTCCACCAGGGCCCACGGCTGGCCACGCCGGGCTCCGCCGTGGGAGATCGGCCAGGGCAGGCGGCCCCGAGGCCTGGGCCAGCCGGAGGCCATAGGAGGGGGCTCGCCCAGAGGCCTCCCAGATGGGGTCCGAACGAGGTCGACCCGTATCACAAAGATGCGCGGTAAGGATGCAGTGGGCTTGGAAGGCCACGTCCACACTTTGCGAGCGGGGCGCGGCCAGCGAGAGTCGCGAAGGATGGGCCGAAGGGGCAAGGATGCAAGGGTACCCTTGGGAAGGTTGACCATCCCATCCTCATCATGCGGGTTGACCGTAGATGATGGGGTCGGTGGATCGCGCCGCATCGGCGACGCATCAGCGCTGCAGCGGCGATGCCTCGGCGACCTCGGCGATGCTTCGGCGACGTCGGCGTGGAGCAGATCGGGCTCCACGTCGAGCCACATCGTCGATGCGTCGGCGATGCGGCGCCATCCTCCGACCCCGTCGACTCCGACCACATCTGGGAGCCCAAATCGCCGCCCCCCACTCCCAGACCTCCGACGGTGTGACTCGGCGGGTGGGAATGGGGTGCCTGGAGGGGGTCGCCTCCGCAGGGCCCCGAGACCCGGGCCAGCCGGAGGGGATCGGGCGTGAGCCTGCTTTAGATCGGCGGCCGGGGAGGTCCTGGCCCCTTCCCGGAGGGCACGCCCTCGGGCGCGCTGGCCGAGAACATGGGCCCCTTCGCCGCAGAGCCAAGGCCCCACAGAGAAATCAGGGAAGGAGACCTTTGATGAAGGAGCGCTGCATCAGCATTTACGTGCCGGATGTCCGCGAGGATTTCTCGGATCGGCGCTAGAGGCGCCGCCAGGGGGATCGCCTGTGTTTTCGCCGCTTGATCGTCCTCGACATTCTTCCAAGGCGGAGAGCACAAGCACACGCCCCTCTAAGGCTAGGACTGTTCCTCACTCTCGTAACTAACGGGCCAACGCCCTGAGCGATGATGAATAAGTCGCGCTCCAGGCCTGCTCTGGAGCGCCGTCGATGTTGAGCCTCTTCGATCCCGATCTCCAGAATTTCCCCCAACGGCATTCGGGGGCGCGCAAACATGGATTAGCGATCCATGGATTTGGCGCGCGGTCGCCAAATCCATGGATCGGGGGGAGGTGCCCTCCCCAAAATGCGGCCGGTGCCGCCCCGTTCGGCGACGGAAATCCGCGATTTCCCATGGAAGCGGGTCCGGTCGCTGATCCACGCCAACTTGATCCATGTTTGCGATCGCCCGCCGACCCACTCTGGGTCTCTAGGCGTGTGAGATTTGACCCCCCCCGGCCCTGGACGACGCGTCATGGGACCATTGAGGGGCCCAAAATGGGCCAAGAGGGCCCGAGTGGGCTCCACGACGATCCAAGAGGGCCCCGAATCGTCGAATGATCGTTCCAAGACGCCCAAGATGGCATCAAGACGGCCCAAGATGCCTCCAAAACGCCCCAAGAGGCCTCCAAGAGGCCTCCCAAAAGGCACCGAAGAAGTGAACATTGCCCCATTCGCTTAGGAAAACGTATGTTTTAAACATATGCGCCTCTCGCGCTTTCATACCGTGCAAGACGGCACAAAAGACCCCTAGGACAGCTCCAAGACGGCCCACAAGGGTCCCAAGACCACCAAAGAAGCCCCGATCACGGCCCCAGAGGGCCCCTGGACGGCGCCTAAAGGGAGCCTACGGGGGGAACCCGAACCCACATTTCCAGCCTTCGGCCCCAGGACGCCCCCAGGTTGCCTCAAGAAGCCCTCAACACGCCCCAACAAGCCCCCAGCGGCCGCATGCCCGCCCCGCCGCTCCCGCCCGTCCACCTGAGTACCCAGGGAGCCCGAACAGAGCCCCCAAACGCCCCCCAAGAACCTCCCAGGAATCGGACAAGCCTCGAGGGATGCACTCCTGGACGCGCAATAGTTTATAGAGGGGTCGGCGGATGTGGCGTAAGCCTATAGACTCGTCCCCCCTGTGCTGCTCTTCCCAACCATCCCTACACTGATCTTACCTTGCATCCCTTGCATCCTCGGGTGACCCTGTCTGCCCCGTCGCGACCCCATCCGCGTCGAATCCGTGTCGAGACCCTGTCGGCCTCAACGGATCCGTGCCGAATCCGTATCGAGCCCACGCAAGAAAATCGGGTCGGGTCCGCCTCGAGCCCGCGTGGGGCACAGGAGAAGGCACCAATTCGGGGGGCAGGCGAGGCCCCCCGAAGATAGACAAGCGCGTTCCACCGCTCGCAAAGTGTAACTGCCCGCAAATGGCCTCGATCCGCCGAGGGGAATCTGCGGTACGTTACACATCGATGCAGACGTGTGCGTTTCGGACGTTTGCGAGTACAAGGGAGGCCAGTCCACAAGAAGCCTTCCACAAGAAGCCTGGCACTGAGACCCCAGACCATCCCTTGGAATTTGGTGTGTGGGAACAGCGCGCTTTCCACAGCAAGACCATCGAAACCCAAGAAGCCCAGGGCACCCTGGAGGCAAGCAGGGTGTTGCTTGGCATTCTCCACTGTAGACACTGTGCGAGTAGTGGAACGCGCTCGGAGAGAAGACGCAGCGCAACGGACCTCCCCCGCTAGTCCCGCGCCTGCGACAGCACGTTCTTCTCGGCAGCCTCCTCGACGTCGTCCTGGACGTTCCGCCTGCCGAGGAGATGGAGGAGGAGGAGGAGGAGGAGGAGGAGGAGGAGGAGGAGGAGGAGGAGGAGGAGGAGGGGGCTCCGCACCCGGTGTCCTGGCTCAGCCAGTGGCACGACCCCAGGGAGTGGAGGCCCCAGTGGGGGAGTAGTGCCCAGTCTCGAATTGACGGAAGGCGACGGACCCGCCCTCCATCCCAGCCACCGACCCCATCTCGCCCTCTGTCGCGGGGTTCTCTGGTGTTGGCGGTGCGGGTGTTGGCGGGTTCGGGCCTCCAAGAAGTTTCGTGCCCCCTGTGCCCAACCCAGCAACAGTCAGAGTGGGGGTCACAAGGCACTTTTGAAGCTCACCAAGGGGAAACTGCCACCAGGATTAAAGGCCTGGCCAGGAGCAGACCCGTGAGCACGCATAGTCCTCCTGGAGTGCAGGGATCGGACAGGCCGAGGCGGCGTGCGCGGAGGAGGAGGAGGAGGAGGAGGAGGAGGAGGAGGAGGAGGAGGAGGAGGAGGAGGAGGAGGAGGAGGAGGAGGAGGAGGAGGAGGAGGAGGAGGAGGAGGGGGGGCTGAGGGCGGCACAGCTGCGGAGGCGACGGCAGCAAAAGAGGCCTCCCTCGCGGGGTCCGCGCAGATGGCCTCGCCGATGCCTCGGCGACGCGTCGGCGATGTCTCGGCGAGGCCTCGGCGCCGTCGGCGTGGAGAAAAACTGACTCCACATCCGGCCGCATGGCTTTGTGGATGCCATGACAATGCACACTCGAACAATCCGATCATTGAACTAAAAATGTGATTAAAATGAATACAAATGTTCTAAACATGAGTAACATATGTTTGTACATGCTTTAAGCATGGTAAAATATGGTTCAGACATCATAAGATCATTTGGCAACATGCTTCCTCTCCATTGATCGTCCTCCACAATCGCATCGGCGATGCGGCGCGATCCCTCGACACCGTCTACTCATGCGCCCGACCAGTCGGAGCTAGTGACGGCGGCCAAGCAATAATCACCAACACAAGCGCAAGCTGCCGGAGGTTCGCGTGGAATCCTTGGATCGGCGCCAGACCTCCCTCCCCGGCGCGCGGAGCGCGACCAAGGCGGGGGTCGTGATGGAAACTGGTCATGGACACCGTTCGGCGACTCCGAAAGGTGTGGTTTGCCCAGGGTGTGGTGTGCAACCCGCACCCTGGGGGCGGGCGAGGACCTCGACGGAACTCTCCGCCGCGCCCCGAGGAAACCCGACCGGGGCAGCGCGGCGCCCCCGAAGCACCAACGACGCAGATCGCAAACCGCATGCTGGCGTAGCCCAACCGCCCAACCCTGTGTGCATGATGAGGAAGACCACATCACTCTGGATATACCTCCCAAGGTTAAGGATGATCTGCTCAAACTCCACATTCCCCCACGAAGAACGAGCGAGGATCTCGATGCCCAGCCGAAACCCGCTTTGTGTGTAGGGGGGTACCGATACCGCTACTCCCCAGATCTCGCCTGGGGTGCGATCTGACCAGAAGCCCGAAAAGAAGAAAACGAAACAAGGGTAGCGGTACGGATACCTTTTTGCCGCCGAGCCGTAGCCTTCCCCAAGACCGACTCTCCATTCCGAACTGCACGTCGGGC